AGAGTTATAAGGCAGGTTCTATCTACAAAGAAATTCTCACACATTATACCAATCAGAGTTACAAGGCAGGTTCTATCTACACAGCAATTCTCACACATTGTACCAATCAGAGGTATCAGACAGGTTCTATCTACACAGAAATTCTCACACATTATACCAATCGGAGGTATCAGGCAGGTTCTATCTACACAGAAATTTTCACACATTGTACCAATCAGAGTTATAAGGCAGGTTCTATATATCTCCACAGAAATTCTCACACATTGTACCAATCAGAGGTATCAGACAGGTTCTATCTACACAGAAATTCTCACACATTGGACCAATCAGAGTTATAAGGCAGGTTCTATCTACAAAGAAATTCTCACACATTATACCAATCAGAGTTATAAGCCAGGTTCTATCTATGCCGAAATTCTCACACATTATACCAATCAGAGTTATAAGCCAGGTTCTATCTATGCCGAAATTCTCACACATTATACCAATCAGAGTTATAAGGCAGGTTCTATCTACACAGAAATTTTCACACAAATGTTCCTTCATAATTGCAGATCTAACTCCAGATTATAAGGGTTTAGTTTACTGCTTAAATTGGAAACAGTATTTTGATTTAAAACACCAACCAAGAAAAATGAACCCTGAAATTTTGCAACCTTCAGGATGTCTTTTGAAATACATTTAAAAAACACTTTTGCATTTCGTTTTTGTTTCATTCACAAAAAACATCAGCAAGTACTGTTCAGAGATAAGTAAGCTAGAGCTTGATTGACATGTTCCAGGGTTAGACCTTGGTAGAGTTATCAGGATGTGAGCGAGGCTGGTATCAGGCTGAATCAAGGAAGCTGCCAGTCCATCAAGTGGCTACTGGGATAAGGCCTTATTGTTAGTTACATAACTACGGCTTTACTGCGGCTTAATCACCTCGACAGCCCCACTTAAATCACCCAAGCAGCGGAAGCTCACTGCTAGTAAACATCTTGTTTACTTGAATATTTAATTAGCTACACCTTAACAATAAAATCTATATCATATTTTGTCAAGTATCTGTACATTTACTACAATATTTTCATTCCAAAAGATTTCCATCTTAACAAGATTATGCAACAAAACTGCTGGATACCAATTTTTTTCCCCCCAACAACCATGAGGCAACAGATCCTGTATACTTGATATCACTTTAATTGTTCAGAATATTTCGTTCATAATGAAATTGTCTATTTCTAAAAAAAAATCACATCACACGACACAAATATTGCTACATCTGAAAAGCACGGGGATTGAGTAGCGTAGTTTTTGAGACAAAAATTCTAATGATGTCATGCTTGACAACAATACAGAGCGCCATTTTAAATGGGTCTTCACAGCAATTTTGTCGTTTGTTGCTATGATCTGGTAAGAGTTCCAGACAAAAAGGTTACTAATTTTGTAGTTATGTGAGAACAATAATGTATGCTGCATAGGCAACAAAACCACTTATTCTGCCGTCACTTCATCTAAACTTGAAACTGAAAATCTACACAGAGAATAGAATTCAGATTGGACAATACTAAGAGTGACGTCGTCACTTGTGAAGATAAAATATTTTGTTTATCTTCACTGCATTGAAGAAATGTTTTTTTTCAAATGCAGAATTCATGATATTTCACCTGTATACTGTAATAAATACCCATACCGTAGGGTTCACCATCTTATTTTTCTAGACAGTATGTGGCCTCAATTTCCCAGAAGGCTTTCACGCATGGGGATCGAAACACCAGAAGTGGACAAAGTGTTTACAGATCAAGCCCTGGCGGCACTTTGCGCCGTTTGAGGGTTTAAAAAAAAATATAAACTTTATTAATCTTACAACAATTATGAAACAATTAGGCTTTCTCAACATATCTTGAATATTGCTTGCCCACTTGGAAGTGGCCTACAGGTCTTAACGTAGGAGGAAAAAAGCATGTGGGAGCTATCGGTTACTCAAAACCCTTTTTTATCTTTTCAGTTTGGGGAGTCACTGCATCATCCCATCATGACCACGGCAAGGCACTGCATCACCCCATCATGACCACGGCGAGTCACTGCATCACCCCATCATGACCACAGCGAGTCACTGCATCGACCCATCATAACCACTGCGAGTCACTGCATCACCCCATCATGACCACGGCAAGTCACTGCATCACCCCATCATGACCACAGCAAGTCACTGCATCACCCCATCATGACCACGGCAAGTCACTGCATCGCCCCATCATGACCACGGCGAGTCACTGCATCACCCCATCATGACCACGGCGACTCACTGCATCACCCCATCATGACCACGGCAAGTCACCGCATCACCCCATCATGACCACGGCAAGTCACTGCAGCACCCCATCATGACCACGGCAAGTCACTGCATCACCCCATCATGACTACGGCAAGTCACTGCATCACCCCATCATGACCAACTACATTCCACCAGAGTTCAACATTCAGAAAACCATACAAACAATTATTGTTCATATACTTCTGTAAGAATGTTTACTCACTGCGTAGAAGATATTAAGGCCATGTACATGTAATGATGTTTCCACTTCCATCTCTAAGATTTAGAGATCCAGTGTATTCCTACCCAGCCTGTAGGATATTTAGAAAAGTTGAAAGTAAAAGATAAGAGCAGGATTATGTTACACATATATCCTGTAACCCCATATTGGTGTTTCAAGATTTTCTGCGAAATGGCAATTGTGACGTCAAAGGGAATTTCAAAATGTTCATATGAAAAAACGGAAGAAAAATCCCTTCATTTTTTTCTACAGTTAAATGATAATTTGTACTTTGAGGCTAAAAACAACAAGCCTTCTCAAATCAGTCTGTGATAATTTGGTGAAATATTACACATGTTTTCTTTCTATCTAGAAACTAAAATCTCAAGGGCATACATATTACAGGTAAAAAGGTGGTACAAAGAAAACATGTGAACACAGATATGGTATTTAGCTCTTAAATCATTTTATCAGATTTTGATCGATGATAAGTTACGATAAGAAAATCTGTTTGAAACACTAGAACCGACTCCACCCTAGCCTTTGCACAAATTACAAGGAAACTTTCAGTTCCTTTCAGAATTGAACATCATATCTCAGATAAAAACCTTCTAAATCACTATTTGAATGCAACATTATGACATGAATAAATACACCAGATTCTTCAAGATGTATAAAACTCAAGTCTTCCCATTACACTCCGAGCAGATAAAGCTTCCAGATTCTAAGGGATGCAATGAAATGTGAGTGCAGTTACTATACTGGAGCCTTTGTTTTGGTATGATGGTATTTAGCTTCAGGCACTGGCTATACCATCTGTATGACCTCAGCCTCCGTAACACATAAACAGAACAGCACTCTCAGCTTACTGTAGGTATATTCATTCAGTTATTCAGTTAAGCTGCTAATCTATTTATAAAAAGTCGTTATTTTATTCAACTTTGGTGGTTGACATATTAAGATAAGTGCATTTTTTCCTTTTAAGATGTCCAGCTCCAACTGTAAATTAAAAATTAGCATGTCCCTTGACAGGAAGTGCTTTAGATTAAGGACTAAACTTGTACTACCGCAAAGGCTATGACAGAAAGTGTTCTTCAAGGACTAGACTTTTGTACTAGGACAGAGACTTTGACAGAAAGTGCTCTTCAGGACTAAACTTTTGATATCTAGGACAGAGACTTTGACAGAAAGCACTTTAAGGACTAAACTTGTACTAAGGCAGAGACTACAACAGGAAGTGGTCTTAGGACTAGACTCTTGTACTAAGGCAGAGACTACAACAGGAAGTGCTCTTCAGCACTAAACTTTTGATATCTAGACTTTTGTACTAAGGCAGAGACTACAACAGGAAGTGGTCTTAATGACTAGACTTTTGTACTCAGGCAAGGACTATGACAGGAAGTGGTCTTAAGGACTAGACTTTTGTACTAAGGCAAGGACTATGACAGGAAGTGGTCTGAAGGACTAGACTTTTTATACTACGGCAGAGACTATAGCGGGAAGTGGTCTTAAGGACTAGACTTTTGTACTAAGGCAAGGACTATGACAGGCCTGGAAGCACTTTAAGGACTAAACTTGTACCCAGGCAGAGACTTTGACAGGAAGTGCTGAAAGGATATAATTTCTTTGCTGCAGAAAATGGTCCCTCCCATGATAAGCTATCAGTATTTGTAACACCGGCCTTGACTCTTTGCAATTACAGCCAAACTCTCGAGATAGCTGTTTTTAGATTGTAACAAGAGGTGCATGCCGTTCATGAAGATGGCAACAACATAATGCTGGCTTGCAAAAATAACTGAATACCCCAGTATCTTTTAAAACAGGGTAAACATAACGTTTTCAAATAAAGAACTTCTATATTCATGTAGTACTATAGCAAGTTCATTCTATTACTTTATTTATATGTATGCTCATGCTAGTACATCAGTAAATATTTTACAATGACTTCAAAGACCCATTAATTATGGCATTTATTTTGGCAATTTTAATATAACAAATTGTGAATGTTTCAATTAAATAACTTTTTTGGATTCAAAATTTCAAAATTTTAATATAACAAGTTAAATAAGATTTGAGTTCATGACCCTTCAACCATTCAAGCTACAGACCAAATATGACCCTCGGATTCACAGTTCTAAAGAAGTTGTTGGAAGTTTTTAACATAACTGATCCCTGTAATTTGAAAAGTAGCTAGGTCAATGTGATTTGATTTGAACATTTCTATATAGCACTTGAGCAAAGCATGATAAAAGTCAAGTAATGTAAGCCTTAATTGGCCTGCTGGTTCCAAAGAAGAAGTCATTTAACTTATTCACCCCTGAAGACACATTTAAGCAATATAAAGGTTGGAATAGTGCTTTATGGAATTTCAGGGGTGAATGCCGTAAGAGGAAAAGTCCATGAGGGAGAGACTCTCCATCATTTCCATACAAGTTGTGTGACAGGTGCCCTAAACCTTCTGTCCAATCTGTATGTACTTACAGTCCTTGTAGGCCTTGTCAATGATACTGCTATCCTGGGCGTGGTGATAGGAAAAGATGGATTTACCAATCAACTCCTCACTACTGTATCCAACCAATTCCTTCATCCTGTCACACCAAAGAAATCGTATTACTACTCTAAATTTCCAAACATCTTCTTCTTCTGGTTAGCAAGTTCAGATTAATTGCATATGGGTTCCTATGGCACAACCAGTGAACCATTTACATACTTGCCAACCTGTTGAAATTTCAATGGGGGAGATTCTGCGTTACCAAAATTAAAAACATAAATCAAATGTGCGTATACACCCGCAAGAGACAAAACAAAATTCTTCAAATTGACAATTATACTGAGATGTTTTGTCAGATGAAATCACTAGATCTTACAATATAGGAATAGTTTAGCAAATTCACTGGTAAGAAAGGTTGAAATTTAGGGTCCAAAATCAGGGGTCTCCCTCCTCAACAGAGAGAGTTGGCAAGTATGTTTAACCCTTTCACCACTGTAGACCATAATGGACTCATCCAGATCAATGCATAGTAGAGTCTACTAAAGTTTCAAGGGGTGAAAGGGTTAACTGAGATATTTCAATGAATTGTACAATATGTACTTCATAACCTTCATCAGACCAATGGTAAATATCATGTAAAACTTCAAAATGTCACACATAAAAATCTCACTGGAATCAACCACTGTTCATTCATACTGTTCAACAGATATAATAAAGTATGACCTTGAAAAACCTCCTTTTACAAAATCTTTCCCATACGATACAGACACAGAAAGCACAAATCTTAACAAAAACCAGGGTTGAGCCTTACCTGCTGTCGCAGTAGGTGAACTTTGAGTCCATGTTGTGTCTGCTGAGGACAGTTTTACAATCAAGAAGTACCTCTATGTTAGAGGGGTGTGGTATGGGCTCTCCCACCCCAAGGAAATATCCAGTGCGACGTGGCTCCTTCTCCATCTTCTCCTCCTCCTCCTGGTCCATGTCTTCATCCAAATCATCTACCTCCTCTTCCTCTTCTTCCTTCCGTACCATTCTCTCCTCCCTGATCTCTATCAGCTTCCCAGTAAACTTTATCACCTGAAAATAAATCATGCGTACGTGTTGGTGCAATTGAATGAACATTTTACATTATGAAAAATTGTAGCAAACCTGTCATCTCCTGGATGGAAAATTGTGTACTTTTCGTTCAATACAGACAAGCAGATTTTTAATGTTCCCTGCAGCCTCTGTATCCAATATGATAAATGTCTTAGTTAACCCAATGAACTTTTCAAGTCCTAAATTGAGAATAAAATTAGGAAAGAACGATGAGACTTACTTCTTATCTGCACAAGTGCAATGCAATAATATGCACCCCCCCCCCCCCAATTATTGTGGAGACCTGATTGTTAATATGGTATATATTAAGCTACTCACTCTTATGTGATAGTGATGTAACTTCACTCGTACAACAAAGAGACTATGGTGTTACCAGCTGGTGAGTTGTGAAATGAGTTTTAAGAAATCTGGATGAAAATTTTCCATCATTATGGAATGATTCTGTAACAGTGACCTTCATCTCTTACGTAGATCTTGACCTTCAACTGGCTCAAGAGATTGACGTCAAAAGACCTTGTGTGATTTTTCAGGAAATCTAGATGAACTGATGACTTTAATCAGGAACCTGTTGACAAGCCAAGAAATAACAGACAGACAAATAGAAGCTTAGACTGACCAGAATGATGCCAGATTACATTTCATAAAAAGGCGGCTGTATCAAAACAAGCCCTTCGGATTGATATGTCTCGCTTATAGGCCCCACTTTGACCATCAATGCACATAAACTTAATGTTGATGGAGATGCTGACAAAGTCAATGGACCATGAAAGGTAGGCGGCAACCAGTAATTGATGCATGGGTTGAGATGCACTACCTAAGATGCATCTTTGGTCCAAGTTTGGTTGGTGTGGCACTTACACTTTCAGTGAAACTAACTTACACGCAAAAACTTATTGTTTACGCCGCCAACGTCGCCGGAATAGCAACACCTTAGTCTTGCTTCCACTTCGTTGCGGCGAGACAATTAGGGATAAATAGGACAAATCAGTCCTCACTGAAAAGCAGCCTCATGATATTACTTTTAGCAATCTCACTATTGCACTGTAACTTACCCACTGTTTATCACAACACTTTGTTTTAGTTTGGCTGGCAGTGGCATTTATTTCTTAACATAATACCTTTCACCTGTCAGTGTTATGGGGCTTAAATGCCGAGGATCCCACACAGCAAAATATCTTGTTTCACAGAATAAAAATTTCTCAAGGCTAATTTTTCAGAAACCTAACACAACTGAATCCTATAGAGAAATGTTTGAAATTCATTACAAAAAATCTTCTGAAATCCAAGAATGTTTTTTCTAGATAATTCCTAATACAAATTCTCAGATTTCTGTTTTTTACAAACCCTAGTCTTTAGAATGTATATATGCAGGTGGTTTTCAGCTGGAAATCAATTTAATCTTTCTTGATACTTTTGTATGAAGTATTTGAGGCGACGCAAGAGACTGGGTTTTTGCCCTGCACGAACTTGATGATATGAAAGGTCAACATTTCCCATACAAAGATACAATGAAGGTAAAAAAGACTACACATCGGTGTTAGTTTTGAAAACCGAAAATTTACATTTAAACAGTTTTGTTGCCCATTTTCTGGATGACACAAAATACAAACATCTAGCTATCCTATTTCGCACTGTATTGTTGCTGTTATAGTAATATTCCTGAGCATCAAATTCATGTCTGTCTATGTGTATATAAACGACACAGTGTACATCTCCTGAATCAACAGTAAAAGTATACATTAATGATAAGAATAACACGTCAACAGCACCTTGCCCCAGAATCACGAACATTCTTTGACCTAAGGTTTGGTTTGGTTTATCTGTGCTTTACGTCCTATTAACAGCTATAGTCATTTAAGAGTGACCCAGGTTTTGGTGGTGCACGAAAACAGGAGTAACCAGAGAAAAACCACCTACTGTGGCCTATACCTCAGAGTGGCATTCCACTAGGCCCCAGTGTAACTGAAGGAAATGCCTTAAGGCTACCCGTCCCACTGTACTATGGTATTTTTCTTAATACAGTACTTAATACAGTAACCTACCCTTGACATTTACTTGGATATAACTGTTGCACAGTTGGCCAGGACACTTCTGTTGACCAGGTAGGTCAATCGATTAGAGTGATATAAAATTTCCTTAACTAACATTTTCTCTTATATCCAATAGTGTTTGACTGCGAAAAAAATCAAGTTAAGAAATCTCCTTAAGTTAAAGGGGGCTTTTATGGCCCAGTGGTTTAGGAGTCTGACCATCTACGATCACTAGTCCTCTACCACTAGGTCACAGTGGCTGAGTGGTTAAGGAGTCTGACTATCTACGATAACTAGCCCTCCACCACTAGGTCACGTTGGCAGAGTGATTAAGGAGTCTGACTATCTACGATAACTAGCCCTCCACCACTAGGTCGCGTTGGCTGAGTGGTCAAGGCACCTGACAGTCTTAAGGTTCACTAGCCCTCCTACACTGGGTCACCTTGGCTGAGTGATTAAGGAGTCTGACTATCTACGATCACTAGCCCTCCACCACTAGGTCACAGTGGCTGATCAGTGGTTAAGGCAGCTGACCATCTACGATCACTAGCCCTCCTACACTAGGTGGGGTTGGCCTTAAGTGGTTAAGGCATCTGTCAGCTTACGATCACTAGCCCTCGATCCACCACTAGGTCACGTTGGCTGAGTTGTCAAGGTACCTGACAGTCTAGGATCACTAGCCCTCCTACACTGGGTCACCTTGGCTGAGTGATTAAGGAGTCTGACTATCTACGATCACTAGCCCTCCACCACTAGGTCACAGTGGCTGATCAGTGGTTAAGGAAGCTGACCATCTACGATCACTGTAAGTCCTTCATCACTAGGTCACAGTGGCTGAGTGGTTAATGCATCTGACCATCTACGATCACTAGCCCTCCTCCACTAGGTAACAGTGGCTGATCAGTGGTTAAGGCATCTGACCGTCTATGATCACTAGCACTCCACCACTAGGTCACAGTGGCTGATCAGTGGTTAAGGTAGCTGACCATCTACGATCACTGTAAGTCCTTCATCACTAGGTCACAGTGGCTGAGTGGTTAATGCATCTGACCATCTACGATCACTAGCCCTCCACCACTAGGTCACAGTGGCTGAGCGGTTAAGGCATCTGACCGTCTATGAACACTAGCCCTCCACCACTGGGTCACGGTGGCTGAGCGGTTAAGGCATCTGACCATCTATGATCACTAGCCCTCCACCACTGGGACACGTTGGCTGAGCGGTTAAGGCATATGACCGTCTATGATCACTAGCCCTCCAACACTAGGTCACAGTGGCTGATCAGTGGTAAGGCACCTGACCGTCTATGATCACTGGCCCTCCACCACTAGGTCACAGTGGCTGATCAGTTGTTAAGGCATCTGACCGTCTATGATCACTAACCCTCCACCACTAGGGCACAGTGGCTGATCAGTGGTTAAGGCATCTGACCATCTATGATCACTAGACCTTGATCACTAGCCCTCCACCACTAGGCCAAAGTGGCTGAGCAGTGATTAAGGCATCTGACCATCTGCAATCACTAGCCCTCCAACACTAGGTCACAGTGGCTGATCAGTGGTTAAGGCAGCTGACCGTCTACGATCAATAGCCCTCCACCTATGGGCCACAGTGGCTGATCAGTGGTTAAGGCACCTGACCATCTACAATCACTAGCCCTCCACCACTAGGTCACAGTGGCTGATCAGTTGTTAAGGCATTTGACCGACTATGATCACTAGCCCTCCAACACTAGGTCACAGTGGCTGATCCGTGGTAAGGCACCTGACCGTCTATGATCACTGGCCCTCCACCACTAGGTCACAGTGGCTGATCAGTGGGTAAGGCAGCTGACCATCTACGATCACTAGCCCTCCACCTATGGGTCACAGTGGCTGAGCGGTTAAGGCATCTGAACGTCTATGATCACTAGCCCTCCACCACTAGGTCACAGTGGCTGAGCAGTGATTAAGGCATCTGACCATCTACAATCACTAGCCCTCCAACACTAGGTCACAGTGGCTGATCAGTGGTTAAGGCATCTGACCGTCTATGATCACTAGCCCTCCAACACTAGGTCACAGTGGCTGATCAGTGGTTAAGGCATCTGACCATCTACGATCACTAGCCCTCCACCACTAGGTCACAGGGGCTGATCAGTGGTTAAGGCATCTGACCCTCTATGATCACTAGCCTTCCACCACTGGGTCACGTTGGCTGAGTGGTTAAGGCATGTGACCGTCTATGATCACTAGCCCTCCACCACTAGGTCACAGTTGCTGAGCAGTGATTAAGGCATCTGACCATCTACAATCACTAGCCCTCCACCACTAGGTCACAGTGGCTGATCAGTGGTTAAGGCATCTGACCCTCTATGATCACTAGCCTTCCACCACTGGGTCACGTTGGCTGAGTGGTTAAGGCATGTGACCGTCTATGATCACTAGCCCTCCACCACTGGGTAGCAGGGACCATCTACTTGTACAATCACTAGCCCTCCACCACTGGGTCACGTTGGCTGAGCGGTTAAGGCATCTGACCATCTATGATCACTAGCCCTCCACCACTAGGTAACAGTGGCTGATCAGTGGTTAAGGCAGCTGACCGTCTAGGATCACTAGTCCACCTATGGGTCACAGTGGCTGATCAGTGGTTAACGCAGCTGACCGTCTACGACCACTAGTCCTCCACCACTAGGTCCCAGTGGCTGATCAGTGGTTAAGGCAGCTGACCCTCTATGATCACTAGCCCTCTACCACTAGGTCACAGTGGCTGATCAGTGGTTAACGCAGCTGACCGTCTACGATCACTAGTCCTCCACCACTAGGTCACAGTGGCTGAGTGGTTAAGGCAGCTGACCGTCTACGATCACTAGCCCTCCACCACTAGGTCACAGTGTGCTGAGTGGTCAAGGCAGCTGACCGTCTATGATCACTAGCCCTCTACCACTAGGTCACAGTGGCTGATCAG